CGGGGAGCCAGGTGAGCAATATACTCTTCAGGCCAGATCGAATGAAGAAACATCAGCTTCTGTGCATAGTCTTCCAAGTCGGACTTCTCAGCTGTGAAGCTGGGTATCTGGTTCCAAGGCAGTTGGCTAGTAGCAAAGGAAGAATGCCCTTCTCCCAAGCCACCATCTGAACTCGCTCCCGAGTTTCCACCTTTGCCCCCACCCATGGCTCGCGAAACACGCCCCGTGTGCGAGAATGAAAACCTGCCCCCTATGTTTTGGGGGCTCCGCTACCAATGTGAATCTACCTAGGTGAACCTATTGAACACCACCCCTGCTCCTATGGATCCCTGTCCAACTGTCCGTTTTCCGTGGTCTCAAGTCTTCCTCATGCCCTCCCACACCGGGCTGGTGCCGTGTGGTCCAAGATGTCGCGTCGAAGGGCCGGCGATCGCTGCACATTTCACAGGCACCATAAGTTGATTGTATACGTTCAAGTATGTTGGACAATGGTGAAGCGGTGTCAAAAAGTTGGACATAAGACTATATAAAGAAAAATGGCCTCCATGTCAGATATGGCTTGAATAGGCATGTCCATGCGAAGCATGTCCACGCCCAATTGATAGAAATACATCCCTGCCTTCGCTTGCCTTCATTTGTTTTATTTCCCACCTTGGACTCCACAGGTAGCACTCAGCGTGATTCCAACAAGCGTTCACAAAGACGAGGCTGCTCGGTGAAGCTTTTGCAAAGTGCCAAACACGTTTGAAATGTTTTGAGTAGGTCGTGTGAGCTTTGCTAGTTCAACCAATATGGTGGCTTCCGCATCCATCCTTGTAAGGACGGATGGTGCGTTGAGGCTGCAGTACCATTCTCAGCCAAACCAGTCAGCATGTGAGTGGGATTCGCCTTTGAATTTTAAGGTATCCTCGTAGCTACGTCAGCTCTGGCTCACTACTAGTGCCGTTTGTTCCCGTTTGTGTCGCAATATCTTCAAGCAACCTTCCAAACACATGTATTATATATATAACATTATATAACTATGTTTGACTTCGGATGCGACACTGCTCAGCAAGCGCCGAGCAGTTTTCGGTGCAGGCAGGTCACAGGTTCAGGTTATAAGGTGTCACATTTTGCGAGGTCCAGATTGGCCTTGTGCTCGTGGTTTTCGCGAAACAAAACTGCACCTCTTCCTGCAGACTCTCTGGAACACAGCACAAAAGGTATTTTCCGTTTTTTTCAGTACCCTAGTCAGGGCCACTATATGGAAACGCAACAATAGTCCGATACTCCTGTAATCAAACTGACAATTAAACTGACAGCAGCAGCAACATGATCAGCATGCAGCAATTACCCGATCAAGACCCGCCGAGATCGGTCTTTGTCTTTGCATTCACTTGAGGGTTCGGAAGAATTGGGGATCCATCGGTTGAGGGGTGACTCGGTGACTCGCGATCAGAAAGGACAAAGTTCTCAGCTAGGTCAGTCACCGGAAGAAGAGTCAGTCAGCAAATGAAAAGGAACAGCAAGCTGCAAGCTCGATGTCAGTCCAGCACCTTTGGGAACGCAACATAATGCAACTATGTTTCCCACTCGGCAAAGCAATTTACCATGTTGCAGGTACGTTCAAGGTAATAAAGCATGGACTTCCCGCTAGTTGGCAACATCTGTGTGAAACAAGCTAAATTTGGCATGAGTCAGTCCTCGACAACCCCAAGAGGAAGAGCAACCGAAGCTTTCTGCGACAGCGACTTTTTTGCGGCCTTCAAACAAGAGGATTGTAGCACAAGTTTGGTTTCAAGCTCAGAATTGTCCCGACTTACAGCAACTGTAACTTCTAAACAGAGCGACGATGATCGTTCTCGAATGTTCTGGGTCACTCCAGCTGGTCAACTACACATGTTATAAGTAGTAGTAAACCGGACATGTTGCCATTGAGCTGACTGAAAGCAACACTCTCCTGAATGACCCTTTGCCGAGCCGATCTTTCCGTCGCTTTGTGACACCATCTGATTTCAAGGTTGTAAGCCCTGGAATCTCCACCGCAATCCTGATTTGCCAAGTTCTATCTACCTTCGTGGGATCAGCTGGATTTAGCGCCTTTGCAGCTTTGGACATCCTTTGTGTTGTTCTGTTCATTGGCTGGCTCGTTTTGGTGACTGAGCAGAGAAAGTTTGCCAACTGAGGGAAAATGAAGACTTAACGTTGCTCTAGTTCAATAGTTCCTTTGGTGATTGGGGCCTGCCCCCGCCACCTTCTTGGCAATTCGCTCAAAGATCTTTTGCTGAGGTATTATTTCCTCAGCAACGGACGAAGTGCACCTTTTGTATGACGTTTGGACAGAGGTGTTTGTCACAGATTGCGCAAAGGATTGAGGTATTGCAAGATTACAAGGATGGGCACCCACAATGTCTTGGCGGGGTTCAAACGTGGTTACCGTTTGTTTGGCTCGCCAAGGTATAAGGCTGTAGATCCAGACAATGACTACAACTTCAAAAGGAAAGCGGTTACAGGGGGCTGCTACCTTCAGCTTCCACTAGTGAAGGTGTGGATTTTAGACCGTGAGACCGTTGTTTGATCGAATGCCGAGGAGTACAGTAAAAAGTCTTTTGGATTGGATCTTTCATCAAAGAATGTGATTCTTTGGGATACTTGAGCCTGCTCATGAAATGGTAGGGGTCCATGAGAATGGATGAGCATGGAATGTCATCCAAGGGCGCATTGTTGTGGTGGCGCAAGGCAAATGTCTCACTGGACATGTGAACATGGTGAGCACGGATTTGGAATGCTACTTGGGTTTTGTACGCACAATGAAATCTACATGAGAGAACGTGAGAGAACAAGAGATGGACTCACAGAAGTCCATCTAACTTCTTGCAGGAAGGCTTTTTTTCCATCCGCAAGAGCCTAACGACCAAAGCAACGACATGCAACGCAGAGCAGGTTCAATGTCTGAAAAGTTCAAGGAACCGTTTAACCAGGCGATGGATTCTTTCGCTTCCAGCTACGAGACTACCAGTAGCTTCCGCTGCTCGACTTCCATTTGCTACTACCTTGCTAATCCTTACGTCTTAACATTATATAATATGTTTAATGTTCATGATTATTATTGTAGCTGAAGTACGCAGCTTCAGCTCCACATTATTTTGAAAGCTCATTTGATTGCCCGAGTGCGCGGTAAATCTGTCGACTTCTGGTCACCTGGTTTCCTTCTTTGTCCAGCCTTATGTTTAGGAAGCCATGCTTTTCTGTTGTTGTCATGTTGTAACATGTTGTAACCATTGTGCAGTTTCCCTCGAATCTTGCAGTGAATGCTGGTCAGAAGTAGGACCCATCGATTTGTTCCTCAAAGCTGCTGTGAAAGGTGTTCCTCGGATTTATTCCACTTGGAACGAAGCAGGTCAGTGCTTCGGCTGCAGAGTTTCTACTGCAATTCATTTTGGGCAAGTACTTGCGATTTTGCCAAGGCATTCCTGTTCCACTACAAGTAGGGAAGACGAGCCTTCCTGGTGGAAATTACACCACGAGCATTGCCCTCAGTTCAGATCAGAAAACACAAGAGTTTTCATGAGACAATGATGATGCAAGATTGCAAGATGTATTTTTTATATATTTACTGTATTAGATTTGAATAGTATAAATATATATATAATGTGTATATATATATACACAGAACATGCCTAAGATGTCAAATATCTAACCGTCCACATCCGTAGTACTACTGTAACAGCATTGCAGGTTGGACGACTCTAGATTGCCCAGTCTTCGACGACAGCGTTGTCGCTCCAATGTTGTTTTGCTGTGGCTTGGCACTGTACCAAGGTCTTTCTGTGTGGTGTGGGAAGTGAAAGACGTGTCCAAAAGTTCTAGGGACCAAGAAATGCGAACAGTGCAAGAACCGTTGCAGCCTGCAGACTTCGTAGCTCTTTGGCATATTTTGACACAGGAGTGTACCTTTAGACTGCATAAGCTCTCCGACTGGATGTTTTCATGACCTTTATGACCCAGGCGTGCTTACGGTTTTTATGGCATACCTCGCTGTGGTGCAGATGAGGCACAGAGAACTGCCTTGCTCGGCTACTTACAACTATATAATACTATATATATAATTATGTTGTTTTAGTTAGAGTTGTCAAGAAGCACAGCATTAAACTTCTCAGATCTCAGAGTCCTCAAGGATATATTCTCCTGGCGAAACCTTCGATGGTCTGAAGCTGAGACAGACAAGCGCCCTCAGCATGCGGTAAATGCTTCATCTTCGTTGCGATTGATAATTGCATTAAAGGCAGTTTTTGACCGTCTTTGATCTACTTTGTGTTTCATTTGTAACGTGGATGCAAATCATTCTTTCTTTTGAAGAGATCTACTTGCACTGTGAAATCTGTGCATTGGTTTGGATTACTTCTCCTTCCAACATTTGGCACTGGAGAGAATTCTGCAATGAATGGTCATGGTCCGCTTGAGGTTTAGCTTTGTGTGTTGTGCTGACAGATTCGCAAAAAAATAACAGGTAACGCATAGCAACGCGTCCTTGCAGTATTTGGGTTGGTGTGTCACGGCGTAGTTGAAACTCGAAGGTTATACGTTTGAACGTTTGAACCTGCACCTACTAAGATTTGTTCCAAAGCATCAAAGATCTTGGCGAACCAGAGCCACTTTGGGAGTCTTCTTCAGTATCACGGCTGCAGTTTCAGTGTCAGTGAAGCTCCGATATTGCTGCCGAACATCACGGCATACTTGAGAATGTTTCAGCGCCTTTGCATACTTTCGTTGTGGCTTGGGAATGTACCGCCTATTTGTGCTTTTTAGGAAGAAGATGAAGGACCTTGCGCTTGACGCCGGAACGTGTGGAAGAATCATCCTGAATCGATTTGGAAAAGGTGTTGCCACACCCTGACGCACTTGGAACAATTGAGGAAGTAGAAATGACTCCCATTCGGAAGGGTCACGAACAATTTTCGTCACTCAGAACCACAGATTGAGTGAGTTGACAAGGCTTCAATCCTTTGTGCCCATGGCAGGCTTCTCTTCCTGCACCAAGGCTTGGTAGTGAGGCTGGGTCCATGGCATGGATCTTCAGATTGTTCTCCCCTTCTAGTTTGGGGTCTCCAGGGTGCCCCTCATGGTTACAGCTCCGGGGACGAATGCGTTCAGCTGCTTCAGAAAGGTTGCCCAATGGCCCAGAACAGTCTTAAGATGTTCTTCAGATGGAGGTTCTGGTTCTTCACAGATTGAGCCGTCTAATTTGCATCTCTCATCCCACACATCGCCAAAGCATCGCCACATTTTCCAAACAGTCAAGTGTTTCCTGTTTCCCTCTAAAACTGGATTACAGCCCTGTGCCCTGTGCGAGATCATGATGTTGCCTTTTGTTTCCTGTTGCCAGGCATGTGTCGATTTGTGAGCTACCTTGTTGCACGTAGCTCTTCCCTGTTCGAACATCAAAGATGCACGGACATAACGCTGGGGCGTGCTTGAAAAATGTGTAGCTTAGTTATCATGACGCTTAGGCATATTGGTGAAACGTGTGAAGACAACATGTGCAGTGCGCCGACAAACTCAGATCCGAAAGAAAGCACAAAACCACTGAAATTTTTGGAAATGTCCGTAATGCTGTTTCCGTTGGCCTCACTGTGGGTCAGCGACAGGCACGAGCCTTAAGCGAATTCAAATGAAACACCTCGAACGTACACCATATGCAGTCAGAGGTATTCCAAGTGGTACTGTTTGGGCTTGAAAAGAGAGCTTTACGATCGGATGCGATGCTTGAGCTGCTTTGCAGGTGCTTCAGACCCGCTTCAGTCCGCCACTGTGTGACTGGCATGTGAAAACAAATCAAATATGTCTGTGAACGGACAAATACATCCGCTTGAAAAGTAAAGATCAATATTCATGGTTATCAGAAGAAGTGCATGGTGATCAAAAGAAGTGCATGATGAATCAATGGAATATTGGGAAATGAACTTCGTTGCGAACTGTGAATGGCAGGGACCTCAATACTCCAACCTCACCAGTCCCGAACGCTCGGGCAATTCGGGCATACATGCTAAACGCCTGCCTCAGTGCCAGCCTGAAGGGTATTCCAGCCTGTCCCAAGTGGGCTCATTTGCCTCGGTCAGCTTTAGTTGGTTTGGAGTTATGATTTGTTTGCTTACCTTACCTCACGTAGCCTTCGAGCCAAGTTGTTCATTATTGATACAGGATGTCATACAATTTAGGCTTTCCCCTGCACCGTGCACGTTGTGCGGAACGGATGTGTTCGCAGAACTCACAAAAGTGATACTGACTGTGATTGTAGTAATTACTTAGTATCTATATGTTGTTCCCGTTTTATCAAAAGGGTTGGTTGGCAGCTTGAGGTGAACCTTTCCAAGGCGCAGAGCTCTGGGGATTTGAGAAGCTTGTGAATCACGTGTGAAGGCTTGTCGAACTTGTGCACACAACTTGTGCCTTTGGTACTAAAGTGAATGTTCTACTAGTGTAACCGACGTTGCCATTTTGGCTACAAGCCCACCGAGAGACAGCTGTCGATCCCCCTCGCTTTTGACAGCTGGGGGAGAGATGGCTGACTCTCGACAGCGAGGCTGTGCCATGTCGAGAAACACCGCCAAGAGATCGGAGGATGAAGCCCGACTGAGCGGTGCTATATAACATGTTCTAACTGTGGAAAGTTGGGGAAAACCTTTGGTATCATGGCGGTGGGTGGGCGGCCAGAGTAGAGATAGCGAGGGTGCTCGAACAAGGTATTCCAAGTACAAAGATCCTCGACGTGATCTGAAAGGGTGAGGAAGGGGAGACCATTTTGAACACCATGGTCTCACTAGAAGCTCTTTCCGGCCCGGTCACCCCTGGGAGTTCTTGAACTCAGGGAGCTTACAGAAAGACAGTCCTTTCTTGATCTCCACAAGGAGGGGTGGCGTTGTCAGAGGAGGGAGGAAGAAGGACGTCCTTTGAGAGCTTTAGGCCTCGAGATGCACCTGGTCAGGCGCTTCTGAGCAGCAGGAGACCGCATGGAGACACAGATTGCTTTCAAAAAGAAGGCCACCCCCCCCCGCAGTAATTTCAAAGTTACACTGCTGGGACAGTCCCTGACGCCTCTTGGCCGCTCCGGTAGGCTTTAAAACACCTGAATCGATGTAACAACAACAGCGCCTGAGCTTAATTAAAGGCTGTTCACCCAAGGTGGACAGCTCTTCACTGGTTGGCGACTTCTGGTTGCTCGTCGCAAGGCGCCCTTTTGTCTACCTCAATAGAGTGGAAAGTAACTCGAACATAGCAGAAGGTCCATCCCATCTTCCCATCATGAAGCCATGGCATTAGGTGCAACTTTGGCACCTCCCGATCCCGGCGTGTTGGAAGAACCCACCAGCACTCTTGTATCCCAGCTTGGCGCTCTGGAGCAGCGGGGGGAGAAAGAATCAACACCCCAGAGCACGCCTCGGATGCCTTGGGGGAGCAACTCATGTATGTAGGTTCACAGCAAATGGGTTCGAGATGTGAATATCAACATCATCAGTGGGCTGCGCCAAGTTCCCTGATCCAACGCAGACCTTGAGCGAAGTAAGAGGAAAACAGCTGTCTGGTGGAGCAATCTGAATATTCCTTGAGGTCGCATATTTTTGCAGAGTATGTCGCAGCAATCATGCCACAGTGTGTGTGTGTCAATTGATTCGTCAAGCAGCAAGAATGTCCAAATGCAACTGTTAGTTTCAAAGCGATGCTTTTGATTGCAGTGTTTCCTGCGTGCTCATAAAACCGATGGATTGTTTTTGGCTTTGTGCATGGGTCAACGCCGCGAGTAAACTGCAGAAACCATTTCTGGATCAGTGCCAGAGCGCCAAAGCCGCTAGATTCGCGATGCCGTGCTCGGCTTAAGAAAAATTGCCAAAGTTTTTTTTAATTTTTGTTGGATCTTTGGTGATCTTTGGACCATTTGCATCTTCAGCGTGGCAAGGTTCATTCCTATAAGGAACGATACCATGGAGGCCCGGCGGACTGCTGAGCAACAAATAAATGGCGGCACTTCGCTTGGGTGCAAGGTCCATCCCCGATACCTGTATGACTGATTCAACAACGGACAGTTATTAAGTAAGAATTTTAAAGGATGAAATTGGGGCGCGTTAATCATATTATATAATCATCAGTATGCTGTGACAGGCTGGCCCCTTTGTCAACCAGCAGAGCTGCATGAACACCAAGCAGAGCACCAGACGGGGGCGAACACGGCGCTTTACGGACAGACTCTTTGTTAAGCAAACCTTGCAGTATCCAGCATATCGATACAGGAGGTAACGGGACCAAGTGTCAATAGTTCTTGAACACGTAGTTCACGTTTTTTATTTGTTTTTTCGTTTGAGTCAGTTCTTCCTAGTACCACCAGTTCTTTGTTTTCTTTGTTTCAGCCAGTTTAAAAACCTGCATTTTGCCTAACCTCGTTTGGTCCTGTCAATCACATCTAGGCTTGAATTGAATCTGCGTTTCGGATCGTTTTGGAGCATATTGAGGTGTAAGAGTCCCCTCCCTACAGTCAGAGGGCAAAAGCACGTGTAAATTGGTCACCAGAACCCATAATCCATAATTACAATACTCAAGTCGATGGTGGCCTACTACCACATGCAGTATTTTTAAAACTCAGCTGGATTCAGCTGGCCTACTACATGTCATCGGTTCATAGATTCTCATCTCATTTCACTCAACCTGGTGTGATTGTGCCAATTGCTAGTTGATACATGTTGATACCTTGTAGATTTGTGTTCCCTTTGCGGTTGGTATGCAGGGTTGCTGGGCATGCCCGGTGTGGGAGTCCCTCGTACTAGTTAACATAACTCAGAATTCGCACTGAAGAGAATCAGTGAGAGTTGACCAAGTGAGCTCAATTGCAAGGTGTCACTGCAGTGCAGATGGGCATCTCTTGGCCAGATGCAGGCAGCCCCTTAGGTGCCAAGGCTGCCATGATGCTTTGCGCAAAAGGCGAGGAGAGTTTGGTGAGGCCAGCACTGCCGCACTACGCGATTGCCGCACTGTTTGGAAAGCAATACCATTTGGTTCTAGGCTGTCTCAGCGTGGCAGCTTGAATCAAACACTTGCATTATATATTATTCCTGAGCCCATTCATTCACTACTGGGATTCCATTCCACGCCTTTTTGTGAACAAGGCAACCTGTTCCTATTTGTCCCTTGTATGCAATGCAAGCCAATGGAACCAGTTTCATCATTTTGAGCATGCTCTCTCAGTCCTTAGCCAATTGCCGACAGTTCGTAGCACAAGAGTGTGAGCATGGAAAAGACTGGGCACAAGTGGCAGTAGTTACTAGACTAGACATGAGCATGCAAGTCTCAAACACCAGAAGACTAGAAGACAATTGCTTCTAGGTTGGTTTCATAACGTGTCAAAGGGCACTGGTATCACAGTATCACTTCCTGTTTGTAGACAGACTTCTGGCTCCTTCGGAGGGTTTTGTTTGACGTTCCAATGGCTTTGAAGCTCGTGGAGCAAGTCGATATGTTTGTTGAGGTGGAAACAGGGAGAGCAGTTGAACTGCATTCAAGACTGCTTGAAGGCCTTGGTTTGCAATGAAAGTAATTAACAACTTGTGTAGGATTTTTGTTGAGCCCTGCCGCCAACAGAGGCCACCGAGTCCAAAGATTTCTTGGCCAGATCCAACTAGCCCTTTTGGTGCTGACATTGCTTTGATTTGCCACGAGAAGAATCAGGAAAGGCGCCTTGCGCCTGGCGCTTGAGGTGAAAGGCGAAGCCTTTGTTCAACTTAGCGCCTTTTGAACTCAGATCCGGTTAGCAACTTGAAATTCAGGCTTTTGACTTGGCGTGCTGCGACGTCAACACAGTCAACCACACTGTTCAGGGAAGACAGCAGTTTGTACATTGTGTAAATAGTGCGCCTGCAGCTTGACGCTTGAAGGTGAAAGAACATTCCAAAGAACAACTGTTTGATAGATGGTTGCAGTTTTTGAGTGGGTTCAGTTGTAGTTCTTTATTATCACCCTCGCACTGTCAAGCTTCTGATATTCGAGCACGGCATTTCTCAGCTGTCATTTCCTGAATTGTAAGTTGTATAGTTTGGTCTGCATGATACAGTTGCGTTAGTAGCATTGTATTGTGGTGTTTGTACTGTACAGTGGACAGTTTCCAGCGTTTGCCCTGCGGCCTTCGGGGGTCGTGCAACACTGCGCTGGCACTTAAGTCCAGGATTACAGATAGGAGAGCAAGGGCTCAGTTCCACAAATGAACAGAAATGAGACGAAAGGGCATGCCGTTAACATTCAAGGGTACAAGGTCAACCACTTTGGTTGTTCTTTGTCAATATTGACCTTTTTATTTAGTCAATGTCAGGTGATTTGGTTTGATTCTTGAGGTTCAACTTTGCCTCAAGCAGCTCGAGCGCCGCAGTTGAAGGAGCTCGACAGCTCACCCAAAAACAATAGAAAGCAGCTCACGTGTTTGCCTTTGCTCTGAAGAAGTTTTTTTTTGTCTTTTGGTGCAATTGCAAGGTCAGGTGTTCTCTTTATGTTGCTCTACAGAGGGATCTCTCGCCCAGGATCCGGGCCATGAGTCCACAGTCGATCGTCCAGCAGCATTGCGAGCAAGCCCTAAAGCGCTGGACACAGGTTCGGTTCCCATGAAGAGCGTAGAAGATATACGATCCGAATCCAAGCGCTCAAGAGTTTTCAAAGAGTTTGTCAAGGTGTTTGCCAAAATATTAAGTGCATCTGTTTTTTCGGCAAAAAGTTTGTTCAATGACCAAACAAGGCGCTCCTCATCAATTGTTTGCAAGCCGGATCAGAAGCACTGAGTGTTTGGTTTCTGCAATTGTGTCAACTGTCCACTTCTTTGTAACAAGCAGCCAAGGCATATTTGTAGCACAAGATGTTCAGCCGCCTCCTCAGAGCACCGGACCAGATCCCACTTTTCTCGGCCATTCTCAGCACGAGTGAAGAGCGGAACCACCATGCTTGACTTCAAATCGTTGAAAAGTACAAATGCTTGTGACCTGGGGCACCATGTACACACCAGAAGAGCAAGTCATTGATTTGTTGTGAATTGCCAAGGACACCTGAATCTTCGCCTTTCTTTGTCGATAAAGTCCGGTTTGGTCCACCTCACAGTGTGAGACCTCAAAGGTTTGCGAGTCCACAAGGGACTTTCGGAGCAAGCTGCTTAAGCTCTAGCTCCCCAAGCTGCACACCAGTCACGCAGTTTGCAGGCACAAGTCACCCAAACGACCCAGAAGCTATATCAATAGAATCAATGAATGCTGCAGGCGTCGCAGCCACCATGACTTCCACAGTGGCCGAGGTGGGCAAAATTAATCAAAGTCATAGAAGAGTCATGGCGAAATTGTTAAAGCTGCTTGAAAACATCGATGTATCTCCTTGAAGTTCTGGAACATAGATTCCAGAAAGAGTTCAAAAATGTTCAAACAGACATATAAAACATGTGCTATACATGTCAGGGCTTACGCTCAACAGCCGGACAGGGGCCCCGCAAGCGGAAGGCAAAGGGGGACGGAACCAGAAGAAAGTTTGGTAAGGGGCCCCCGAAAACGAGAGAGCTATCTTCGGCGAACGGGAGGGAAGGGGTGGGCTTTCTCTTCCTCTTCCCCTTCCTCTTTCTCCTTCTCTTTCTCTTGCTTTTCCTCTTCTTCTTCCTCCTCCTCTTCCTCTTCCTCTTCCTCTTCCTCTTCCTCTTCCTCTTCCTCTTCCTCTTCCTCTTCCTCTTCCTCTTCCTCTTCCTCTTCCTCTTCCTCTCTGCTTCTTGCTCTTGCTCTTGCACTCTCTCTCTCTCTCTTTCTCTTCCTCTTCCTCTTCCTCTGTCTCTTCCTCTTCCTCTTCTTCCATCTCTCTTCCTCTCTTCCTGTCTTCCTCTCTGCCTCTCTTTCTCTCTCTCTCTCTCTCCCTCTCCCTCTCTCTCTCGCTCTTCTCCTGCTCTCTTTCTCTTTCTTTCTTTCTTTCTCTTTCTCTCTTCTCTTTCTCTTTCTCTCTTCTCTGTCTCTCTTTCTCTCTTTATCTTTCTCTCTTTCTCTTTCTCTGTTTCTCTCTTTCTCTTTCTCTCTTTTTCTTTCTCTGTCTCTTTTTCTCTTTCTATCTTTTTCTCTTTCTCTTCCGCTCTTTCTCTTTATCTTTATCTTTCTCTCTTTCTCTTTCTCTCTCCTTCTCTTTCTCTGTCTCTCTCTCTTTTTTTCTCGCCAAAACGCATCCGCACAGTTCCAAACATCACGTTCTACCAACAAAATATTTTTCCAGCAGCTGTAGCCTACCCTCTCCCAGACACCCCAACGGTAGGCTACACCACACCCTTACCCAATCGAATTCCACCGAAATATGTCCGCATTTCTACCAGCAATAAACCTATCCCAAGGCCCCCCGCCTTCCTTCACCAACAAACACTGAGGACTTTGCAAAGCCCAGTGTCCATTGGCGCGCTTCCCCACCATCAGCTGACAAATATATGTATATATATACTGTATACATATGTGAAAACACTGGCAGCCGGCCGACTCCGATCGGCCAACCACACATGGGCGCACCTTTTGCCGGCTCCGGCCGAAACGGAAGTCCCTGCGGTCGAACGACGTGGCACCTGGACGAACGTGGTGGCATGCATTGAAGCTTTTGCACTGGTTCTATTTTCTTCTGTCTTTTAAAGATAGAGGAAGGTATGCATTTCAATCTACTACTTCTTGAAGGTGCGATGCACGTCGGTTCCTGGGATGCAAGGTCCATCCCATGCAAGATCACGAGCGATGTCTCGCTCAGCCTCAAAACGGACGAGGAAGCATGCTAAATCGTGAAGTAGTCCGGTCGAGGACTTGACTCGGGCTTTGACCCACTTCACATATGACACGGCCCGGTCATCGGTTGCCGATGCAAGGTCTTCATAGGACCATCCGGTCGCCTTATACTGTCCAAACTGGATGAGGGATTTTCCCCACTGCTCAATGGACGAAATGTCCTCAGGAATGTCCGGCAAACCTTCGACATGAGTCGACTTGGGCATTGGTCGAGGCATATGACTTCCACCTGCATACGAAGCCAGTCCTGGCGATGAGGTTGGTGATGCCACAAACTTCGGATAGGCAGAAAGGCCTGTTCCTCCTCGCTCTCGCTTGGAATTTGGGACACACGATGAATCATCTTCACGGCGCTTGGAAGCATCGGTCATTGCTGCCAAAGAGTGCTCAAAAGGAATCAAACTGAAACCAGAATCCTGATCGTCGCTGTCTCTGACCTTGGTTCCCGAATCTTCGAGGCTCAGGGACGGTGGAACACCTCCTGCGGACGCCTTGGTCAGCAGGCGTTGGAGCTCGGCGTGCTCTTCTGGGCTAAGTGACATGCTGTCCGATGAGCAGTCACACACAAAATGAAACACGATCGGTCGAATTGATGACTTGATCCACAAACTCTAAACAGGCACAAACCAGCAAATGTTTGAACAGGTTCACGAAGGCTCTTCTCAACTGTTACTAAAGTCATCACAACTTGCACTGAGAATCTATCTTCACAAAAACATTTTTATTGATTTACAACGCGCAAAAACATGCATGTGCAACTTGTCGGAAGGCAAGCAAACTCAATGACCCGAACAGTCTCCCTTGACTGGTTCATTACATTTGAGAAAATGGCTTATCTTTCACAAGTTAATTTCCGGAGCTGCTATTCTTTGCGTTCTTGCGGCGCTCTCTTTCTTCAGCTTGTTGTTGAAGTACGGTGTCTTCAGGGGCAATCTGGTATGTCCCTTGGCGCACACAAGACCTGAGAAGGTCGGCAGGCTCTTGTCGATCCTTAGTAAGGCCATCGGCCAACATCCAACCAGTTGGAAGCCACCTTATTGCTCCTCCTGTTAGTTTCAAAGATTCTCGCAACATCACAATGTCTATACTTGTTCTACGGTCGTCGATGGCTGTAGGTGATGATGGCGAAATCAAATGATCATACAGGCTCTTGCAGTCTGTGGCTAGGATAGGGGACCGTTTGAGGATCAACATGGGAGGTCTCTTTTGAAGTAGCTCTCGAGCATTCCTGGCCTGGAAAGGACCGTCGAGGGTCTCTGACAGCAAAAGCGAGAGCCACTCTGCTGCGCCACTTGCATTGGCCATGGCCTGGCTTTCGCCTCCTAGAGTAGAGCTCACTGCTCGTGGCAGACGATAGCTCTTCCAGGTCACCGGGGTCCAAGGAGACACTTTACCATGGTGCAAATCCTTATGACCAAAGGCCAAGATGTACCCTGCTTGAGTGTGACATCCTACATTGGCGAATGCTGCGTCCGAGTGACAACAGATGGTCAAGGCCTGTGGTTCGATGGATCGGAAACGGATACTCAGGTCCTTGAACTGTTTTGCCCTTCTGATTGCATTGTTTGCGTTTCTCAAGTGCTGGATAGTGGGATTTGGGAATCCTTGCTGACAGAAACTAGTCTGACATGCGAGATCTGGCCTACTCTGTGAGGCTATCCAGTTCTCGCTGCCGTTGATGGCCCTGAGAACTCGAGTCTGTTGCTCGTTCAACTGCTGTGTCGGTGGAACTCCCTTGGGAATGGTGGCGGGCCTCATGCCTTCGGCGAAGCTCTTTTGGGACATGACTATGTCGAAACTTCCTGGGTCTTGTTCGCACATGGCCCCACAAAACTCACCGCTAGACACGCGCCACTTTCTATAGGGGAATCTCTGTTTCAGCTGAAGGACCGACTGTTCGAACCTTGTTCCACTACCTCCTACTGCAGTATCATCAACATGAACACCGAGAATACCTTGGAGGTCACCAGTGTGTGGACAACGAAGAGTATAGAGGCACGGATCCAGAATCGATCTCGACCAACCTGCATTGAGCGCCTCTCTGTCGAACGTAGTGTGCCATGCCCTCGGAGCGTCATTCTGCCCATAGAGGTTACCTACGATCTCGATGACAACATCCTGTTGAGACAAACCTGGAATTCCACCTGGCGGCAATTCAGCGTACAAGGGTCGGAACTTCTCTGGAAGCTCTCCGGCTTCCAAGAACGCACCCTTGATATCACCGAGCTGTAACGTCCACTTGTAGGAAGCAATGGTTTGCATTAGGACCATCCTACCGAGCTGGCTGAGCGTCGGCGATTGCAAGAGGCCTGAGGCCGCCTTTTCAGCTAGGTCGGGATCAAGGTGACCCTGCAGGACCCATCGGCTCTTCACTTTGAACGTGCTGGGATCACTGATATCCACATTTACGCCATCTTGGACTGCTTTCCGAATGATGACGAAGCGAGATCCTATGAATCGATGGGCATGTTCAGCACGGATCAGTCTAGCCTTCTTACCGAAATGCCATCTAATGGCCCCTTTATCCTTGATCGTACTCCATTCTTCCGACTTGGATTCGTCGATGAGCTTCTGAAGTTCCGGTGGATTCTTCGTAGGGGACAACTCTTTACTCAACTTTTTCTGGATGTGGGCAGCAATGAGGACCTCGACACTATCCTGGAGACACTCATGAACCTCTTCGACCGTCAACACTTCATCATGACGAGCTCGATTGGTCGCCGGTTCATCGGCAGCAGACGAATCTGGTGAAAGGGCTCTCTTCTGTCCATGCTCCATGTTGGTGTCTGTCGTGCTTGGTTGTGATTGTTCACCTGAGATAGCATCATCTAACAGTTGTGGAAGTGCTTCTTTGATTATTTCAACAAAGTCATCCTGACGGAGCATGGGCGGTCTGTACAACGCAGGAGCGCCGGACTTGGAATCAACTCTCCTCCGAACTGGTCCATAGCTACTGCTTGACTGTTTCGCCTGGTCAACATTGGAATCGACTTTGTCTCCGTCCCGGGAGGACGATGATATAGATGTGCTTTCTGGAAATGAGGACAGCTGGGACACCAGCGGCGGAGGAGAGTCCAACGGTGCTGCAGACTGCGCGGGCATGGATTCTGCCTTCAGGGCGCGAATCTGTTCTGGCTGGACTTCAGGCATGTTTCCTGTATCCGGCTCTGGTGTCTCCGTACCTTCTTGAGTGGGGTAATGACCCGGAACTAAGTCAATGAATTGATGACTTCGGAAAGTACCACCTTCTAGCAAGTCCTTAATTCCAAGAAGTTCGGCTTGGGGTGAGGTCACCAGAGTCCGTTCTTCAGTGGTCGCTGGTCGTAGCTGTTCGGGTGCACGTCGGAAGATTTGTCTTCGGTGAGCAATGACATAGTTCTTACCTATTTGACCAATGATGACTGCAGTACCATACCACCGACCACCATTTTGAACCATCCCTTGTCCAATGAACTTTTGATTACGCCAGTAGCATACAAGATCACCTGGTATACAAAGGTTATCGTGGCTCGTGGTCGAGCGGCTAGCGTATGTCTGAGAGCTTTGTCGTCTTGCAGGGCAATCACAGCATGTCTGGCACTTGCTCGAATGGACTGAGCTTTGGCGACAGCATCATCGCTAAGACCGGCTGTCCCTGGTACCACATGTAATGGTTCGCTCAACAAGTCGCCAGGCATGGTCGGGTTCTTACCAAACACATGTTGGTGAGGGGTATACCCATAGCTCTGGATCATCTGGTTTTTGACATGAGCGTGTCTCACACAGGCTTCCCATTCTTCTTGGTTTTGGGGCGAATGTTCTAATATGGCTTTCTCCAGAATCCGAGCGAACCACCCACCATGCGATTCGGTTCGACCTAACTGCCAATGGGCCTCAGCTGGAATCGTTCGCGCGTTCACCCCTTGGTCATCAAGGAAGGATTGCATTGCTTCCCCTAAGTTGGTTCTGGCAGTATCCATGATGATCTCTTTGGGAAAACCGGCCCACTGAATCCAATGAGTGTCGAACAACTTACGAAGCACTTGAGAGGTTTCTTTTTCATAGAAGGGAATTACCTGCTGGTAGCATGATCCTTGGCAAACAATGTTGAGTGCTTTGATCTTTTGGTTGACCCGCCACCCTGGAAGATATTTCACATCTATGCCCACCTGAGAGTTGAACTCGTATTGGCGAGATGACTTGGCCGGAAGGGGGACATGCGGACGAATCTGAGCCTTGCAGAAATCGCATTCCATGGTTCTAACTAGCTCAATGGCTCTGGCCGACGCTGAACCGTGTCGCAGGATGCGAATCATGTCTTGAGTGCCTGGGTGACCTAGGTTCTTATGCAGCTTGAGAAGGGCACGACGAATAGCGGATTCATCATCTCCCTGCAAATCGGTTCGGCTAGCCAGGAGCTCATGCGTTTCCATCGCGCAAGGTTCAAGCGCATTGACCATGTAGGCCTGGTTGGTTCGGACGAAGGCAGTGGTGGTACTCAGTACTGCCTGTACAAAGGCAGGAGTATATTGTGCCACGAACTGACTGATTGAGCCTACTTCCTTATCCGACCCTGCTACGATGTCATGACATGTGTGATGGGGATCTTGCTTCCCCGGACATCTCAATCCTAATCTCTTCATGTGTTCATGGCTAAGCAAGAGACGAGTTGACTTGCGTATGTATTGTGAGCTTGATGGCAACTTCAGACCATATCGACACATGTGACACCTGACATCATGAAACCTGTTGAGAAGGCGGACCATTTCCGGATATGACCATGTCTTCGCACCAGTGGGATGCTCGAAGATGGCCTGTTTTCCGGCTTTCACCTATTGTTCAAACAACTCGCAACAAAATCGAACGAACAGCCGGCTCAATCTCTTCTTTCGGAGGTATTCTTCAGGGTGCATGGTGCAGGCATTAAGGTTGAACCAACCCCCTTCATATGTGCAAGGTGGACACAAAACAAGCAGATCTGGTGGGTGGTCAGCCAAGAATTGCTGGACCTCGTGACGCTGCTGGGATTGAGACAAGTCACAACCTTGTTTCAAGTCGTAAGACCTAGCACTGAAACCCAGACTTGTGGCTACCGGTGCAAAACGAGGTGGACTAAACACTTCAGCTACCAAAAACCGTTTCCCGTCGACCATCGTTCCTGCCTCCTTGGGTGCAGTTCGAATCTGCGATCTCAGCTGGCGGGCCACTTGGACCGGAAGGCACTCGATAGCGCTGGTCAGTTCCTGAGGCGAGAAGTGGAAATCCGTCCGGACTCGAACAACTCCTTTTGGCATCGGTCGAAGGTAGGTGCGCTTATCTTTGGAATGATGATCTATGGTCTCATCACTTATCACGCTACCAGTGTCTAAATCATGAATCACACGACGATGAACACGGTGCCAAAAGGGACAACTCTTACCGGTGATGGGGGTCAAAGTCAAGTGACTGTCCTCCCTAGACCACACACTTAGATCCAAGTTGCCACATTCTTCGGAGGCGGAGTGACCTATGCACGAATGCTCTTGGGCGATGGGCTCATGTTTGGGCTCTGGTGAGTCCAAGGCATCTCCTGCATGTTCGAGGTTCGGATCCACACTTGATTGATCCGAACATTGCTGCATTGTGAGCACCTCATTGAACTGCACTTCACGGCGACCAGAAGGTTCGGATGCTGACAAAACATTCAATGTAAACTGTCCAGCCGTGTTTGTTTGCAGCGGAATAGTGATTGCATCACCAAACAATGTAAGGGTGCCTTCATGGAAGTTCAATGTTGCTTTCAACTTCTGTAGCGCCGACCGGGAAATCAACAACGGTGCTCTGCCTTGAACGATGGCGGCGCGAATAACTCCTGATCTTCCAGCAATGCGAACAGGCATTGGGATCACCTCGGAGGAGGTCTCACGCTGTCCGTTCCCGAACTTGAAGTGGTTGGTCTCAAGCTCAACGGACGGGCAATTGATGCCCATTTGGCTCCACATTTGTTTGAAATCTTCCAGCGTCTCGCGGCCAATGATGGTCTTGCCGCAACCAGAATCAATCACACCAAACCCCGGGCTGGACACCAGGAGAGTTTCCTGGACATCCATGCAGCAGGGGGCTTGCATCACCAACCTTTTGGAGCGCAGCAAATCCAATGGAGAGGGTGCTGACGTTTGAGCAGCCATGGCAACAAAGAAAGTATCCTCATCACCAGTCGCTTCGACGGCTGCTGCACCGGATTCTTGACTCTTGGACTTGTTCTTGCCCTTTCCTTTTGCACCTCCAGCACGACACTCCCTCGACCAATGGCCGAGTTGTCCACAGCGATGACACTTCGTCTTCTTCTTGAGCTCCTCAACCTCCACGCGGAAGGAACGTTTCACTTCGTTGGCACGACCAAAATTTCGTGCCTTTTGCAGCTTGGACAACTCTTGGCGCTTATCGCGCCAGCTCACAGCCAAGGCCTCGGCCACATCGGGCTCTTCGAAGGACTCGTTGATGTCCTCCTCGCCCTGATACTCAGCCAGGAACTGTTCGATGTCGTTGAAATCATCCATATCGGCTGACTCAGGAGGTGGTTCATCTTCCTCCAACAACGCAACACCGGCAGGGGTCCTCTTCTTCGAGACCACGTACTCAGGATAGCAGCTGCGCATAGCCTTGCCAATCTCTTCCCTTTTCATCACTCCCAAACTCCGGGCGAGAACAACAGCTTTCTGCTCCTCGTTGAGCCCAGAGCGATGCAGGATGAGCCAACCACGGGCCTCGTCGGGGAAGATGACGTTTGTCTTTCTGGCGCACCGATCAAACAGTTCGGAAGCCCTGCTGATCCAGGCCTTCAGTGACTCGCCGTCAGCAGCTTTCAAATTGAAGATCTCGGTGAGGGACTCGGACATCTCATCCGTGACCTCCTTCTGAGGAAAGCGCTGATCCAGCAGGTCGAACAAGACTTTCTCACCGCCTTCCTTCTGGTAGGCGGATGGTTCCAAATGCTCCACGCATTCGAGAGCCTTGCCACTGAGGAGCGTGAAGACGTACGCTCCCTTGGCTTCCTTCGGCATCTTGTCGAGCGTGAGCATTTTTGCTAGAACCCAGTTTTTCCATCTCTTGTACTCCTTGTTATCCTCGGTCTCACCAGAGAAAAATCGAAGACCTCCATGGTCTGACGTCGATGAACTGGCGGCATGCATTGCAGCGCCGGGATCCTACCCGGAGCCCTGGCCCTGTGGCCAGGGCTCCGCTACCAATGTGAAAACACTGGCAGCCGGCCGACTCCGATCGGCCAACCACACATGGGCGCACCTTTTGCCGGCTCCGGCCGAAACGGAAGTCCCTGCGGTCGAACGACGTGGCACCTGGACGAACGTGGTGGCATGCATTGAAGCTTTTGCACATATATATATATATATGTTCTATTTGTTTAAGTGCTCATGTTAAGGACAGATTGCAGCGCCGGCTACATCAGGTGGGAAGTAAGTGCTGGCGGAAAGAGAAGCAAAAAGATTCTGACACTTGTGGACTCATTGTGGACTGCTGGATGAGAACAGCCAGGCGCGCGCCGCTATGGTTAGGTGTGACGAGGCCAAGATCATTTTGCCAAGCGATGTCAAGATGTTGGGTCAAGAGCTAAAGAAGGTGTTGTTGTTTGTAGCACATGGATCATTCAATTCATCCAAAACCTGCACTGCTTTGGTTTCTCATGTCAGCGCAGGAGCTTCAAAAGCTTGCTGCAGAGGACAAAAATAAAGCTAAACATGAAACTCTTTGAGACCACTGAGTTCCAAGTTTTGTTTCAAAAGAGGAAGTGGCAGAGATAGAAGCAGAAAACTGCACAAAGGCCAGTTTGCATAAACACAGAGGAACTGAGTGTCGAGGCTTGTTCAAATATGGCTGCATATTTCAAAAGCAAGATGAATGGAAAATGTCCTAATGTTGATGTTGGTGAGCCAGTTTTGATGAGGCACGCGGTGAAGGCCTACACAATCAGCCATAGCCTTGAGCAGGAAAGTCAAACTGAAATAGTGTGGTTCCTAGCCAATAGAGTGCAAATGCTCTGCAGTAGGTTGGATATGGAGCAAATCGAACAAGAGCTCTTTGATTGCAAGAAGAGCAAGTACCTTAGGGTATGCCCCTAGGCACTGCCCGCGTATTATAGCCCAGCCTTTGTTTTCCGCAACATGTCTTTCAATGTGCGCTTCACATTGCTCAGGGGTTGCACGGCTAGAGCACTTGAACAAGATCCAGATAGGCAGGTCCTCTTTACTTTGTTGCCCATTCGGAAGAATGGAGAGCTGACAGTTTGCCATGCAAGGCTATGGAGCTGAGGAGGCCGCAAGAGACATTTCATGTTCATGCTGTGAAATCGTGCAACCCTCCCGGTCCTACCAATTGGAGCACAGATTGGCAGGCTCCCAGCGATGCATCTACTTCCGCCCGAACCTTGGTTTGAATGCGTGGCAGATCCACGCGGCGTCTAGGAAAGCATTGTTCATCATGTTTGTTTGCACACAGAGGAAGCGGCTAGCCCTGCATGCAGCGGTTGGAGAGTTAGAGCGCATGGAGAACATAATGCGGTAAGGCACTTTTATAATCTATATATAATAAGTTTTAAGCGAACCTTTGGGCCTATGGGCTGTTGCGGCTTTGCTGGGTTTTTCGGCATCGCATGACCTTCGCCCTCCTGTGCCACAGTTTGTGTTGCCGCTTCAGGCAGTGAACATTATTCACAGTGCATTCGATACTGTAGCGCAAGCGAGTCAGCTGTAGGTGGCCTGTGTTGGCCTGTATCACCAACAGAGTTGCGCAGTGCTTTCCAGGCAAGCTTTGGCGTTGAGGACACCTGGCAGCAGCGTGCAGAGGTGCGGCCGGGTATTGACAACGCGTGCTTTTTGCATCGAAGAAAGAACACAGGAGAAAGAGTATGGTTGTGTACTGTACTAAACGTATGTAGAATGGGAAGCTGTAGGATTCAGTTTGGTTTGCATCTTTCCACGGACGTTGGTGGGCCACATCCTTGTTTCCAATGTTTTCTGAAAGATGCTCACAGAACTTGCACTTCTGGCAATCAATATTTTGCAAATGTTCTTCGCTGTGTTTTGAAGAGGCTTTGCGTGATGAATTGCTGCGTCAGTCAGCGATAGTGCAATGGCCTCGATGGTGGCAGGGCAGGGCAGGGCAGGGCGTGAAAGTTTTTCAATTAGGTGCGCGGTCCTATGAAAGTGCTTACATGCCTTGAGAGCATCGGTTCTACTGCAACTACCACTGCCGTGGCTGCTGCTACTACACTGCTACTGCTACGTGTGAACGTAGTGGAGGACATGAATCCATTACATTGGGTTTGGTTTGTTTGATGCTCGAGGACTGAATTGCAGGACCGCATCCACTGGTTGCGAGCGCAGCTCCGAAGGCCTCACCTGGAATGCTCGGCGGGGGATAGGCTCAGTGTTGAAGCACAATGGAACTGTCAAGCTTAGCTTTGAGTCGTTAACTTTACATTACTAACTGTTAACATAGTTGTTGACAACGTTGTGTTTCTCCTTGTGTTGAAGTCCTACTATTATACCACTTAATTATGCGTGTGCGCATGTTGCATTGTGTCACTTGTGTCAGCTGTGTCAGGCAGCCTGGGCTTCAGGATAAGAGGATGCAAGAAATTGTCGACGGCCTAGTTCAGTCTTTTTGATTGTGGGAGTCGACAACCCGTTCGCCGATTCCAATGCCCCACAGTCCTCCAGCAGGCCTGCATGATCCTGCAGGCAAAACTGACTTCTCTCAAGTCATGCCGTCTCACATCTCATAGACGCGTAGGTTCTCGTACTAGTCTACGCCTACGCCCACCTTACGGTATCAGATCTTGTATCCGCTGGTGATCTTGTATACCTCCACCTTAGATTTATCTCATTCCGAGAATGTAATGTAATCTCACATAGCCTCAATGCATGTCGACCGCTTGTCAGCTCTTCCAGGGTTTCTTTGGATAGCCGATAGCCACAAAGGGGCTGTGCGTGTGCAGGCACTCCCTGGAAACTCTTTCGAAACATGTATGATTTTGCAGAGACATGATGAGTCGAGCCTGTCTCAAAAGTTGTGCTTCAGCTGACGGAAGGTTTCCCATAGCTCCTTTGGTTTGCCAAAATCGACAAAATCTTACTTGCAAAAGCTCTGTCGGGATTCTTTAGCTCGTTTTCGCACTCCATAACCACCAGGCCTTGACTTTATGTGTAGCGAGACTTTCACTCAACTACGACATGTTTGACTTGTTTGATACATTTTTTCGTTCAATGATTAGAAGATTTTTCCTGCTCTGGACGACGAGTTCGCCGAATGAACGAGTGCGGTCCTATTTTGTGTGTTTTTTTTCCGCAAGCACTTGCGAAGGGTTCTCCATCAAGAACGGCTGCCAACTTCACCTGTCCAACCATAATCGACATAACAATAGTACTATAGTCATCTATTGTCATAATCATCCAGGTGCACAGATGCAGGTGATGCACCTGCTTTGACACAACTGCATAGGTACAGGTGTTTGGAAACAGGTATTGAAAAAAAAGGTGTTGAGATACACGCAGGTGAACACCATATTTTGGAATTCATCGCGCGCGCTGAGTTGCCAAAGTGCGTCACTGTCTTTGAAAACACGCTGGAAGTTGCAAAACTGTGTAGCTGTGGTCCAAAATCGCGGTGGAAGTGGCCAAAGTGCATAACTGCCGTTGGATGTGGCACATCGCTCAAAGTGTGTAACTGTCGTAAGGTGGAAGTTGCCAAAGTGTGCAACTGTCGCGGAAAATCAAGGCGCATGGTGCCAAAGTGTGTAGCGGTCGTCGAAAATGAAAGTGGAAGCTGCCAAAGCGTGTATCTGTCGTGGCAAGCCAAGGTGGGTGGCGCTCAAAATTGGCAACTTTGTGTGAGGCCGTGAGGCCTCAGAACTGGCAACTTAGGTGTAGTTTGGGAAGCGGCTTCTGGGAGCTCGGACTCGGAACGCGGGTGTCGTGGTGTCGCTGGCGAGCGGGAGGTGTCTACGAGGTTTGCTCGTTGTCTAGTCAGTGGCACTCCGTCTCGCGAAATTACATCTGCGATGTGCGAACGCGCGTTTGCTCATGTCCGTGCAATTGGTGAAAGGTAAAAGTAAAGGGTGAAACGGGAAAGGTTGGTGGTGTGGTGTCGCGTGAAATTACGTCCGCGCTGCTGCGCCATGTGGTTTCGCGCGGCCTCGGTGGAAAGGCTGTTTGCATGGCTCTGCGCCACTAGGAAACGCAGAGCACGAACGCATAAATACAACGTGTCGCTGGTGAGCGGGGTGAGTGGCGGTGTCAGTGAGGCTTTGTCACGAAAGCGGTCTCCGACGGAGGTCAGCTGAAGATCGAGTTTACGATTCACGATTAGATGGCCAAAGTCAAAGGGATCAATTGAAACATCACTACAAACGGCCCCCCCAAAGGGACACGACATCACAAACATCATGCCCAGTTGATCTTTTCTTTGCCGAACACCGTGGCCAATTTCTATCATAAACTATTTGTCCGGAACAACAAAACAGTTGAACAAATCATGAATAATTTGCCATGTCCTGCACCCAGGGCGATAAGAACTTGCAGAAGAAGACTAAGCAAAAAAAGAAAATCAAAAAGGTGTTCTCACATTCGTCGTTGTCATTGCTTTCGTTCCCCGCCTCTCAAGTGTCAGTCAGTGGCACATGTGTGGCGAAGTAACGTATGTGACGTCGCAGCGATGCAGACTGGCCCGGCCATGGTGGAAAGCGCGTTGCACGTGTTTGTGCCATTGGGGAAAGGAAGCATGATGGCGTAAACACGGCGTGTCCCTGGTGAGCGGGCTAATGGGTGGTGCGGTGTCGCATGATAGTTTGTGACGCGCGGCGCGGCGAAATTGCGTCCGCGAATGTGGAAAGTGCGCATACACGTGGCTACGTGCCATTGGCGAACGGGAATCATGCGTGCATAAACGCGGCCTGTCACGCGAACAAAAGGCCTTACAGAGCAGATTGATCGTCGAAGCAAACTTTGTTTATGGAGTGGAGATGGGGGTTGTTGCGAGAATCTCCTGATTGTTTTTATTTCAACAACAATCAAGCATTGAATGAAAATGACTGAGCATGGACATGGAAAGAAGGTCGAAGCGATGGCAGGGCACATCGAATCACAGCATTCCTGTTCAAACTATAAGGTCGACACTTTTGCTGAAATGGCGGAGATGGTTCCCAAGTACGAGCGAGTCCAAAGCTTACAAACTTGTAAAAACAGAGACGGTAAGTTAAGGGCCTCTTTAATAAAGTTTCCTGCATTGGCAAGTAGAAAGAGATTGTGACTTACCATGACTTACTTTTCAGCCAAAGTAGGTCATAATGTATTTCCACTTACAATCACTTATATGATATGCCAAAGGACCTTACTAAACAAGCATTTACCTTTTTGTGTTTTTTGTTCTGCTATTCGTGTAGAGTCCATTGAATCAATTGAGTTTTGCGAGGTTGCTGCAATTGGTCAGCTTCTCGCTGAGATTGCAAATCAAGCAACCTATGTGGGCGAAGAAACCTAAAGGCAAGGAGTGCATGTAGTTTGCTGGGTGGCATTCGAAAGTTCTTCGTGTCAATCCAGGAAACCATGAAGGAGATTTGGAAATGTGCCTCAGCTGAATAGTGTTTGAGAGTTCGTCAAACCTGAGTGAGAGCCAAACATGTTTTGGCACATATGCAATGGTTTGCCTTCATATTGTGTTATGGTGGTGAGCTTTACCACTATGTTTCAGCCAGGCCCTATCAGTTTGGCCGCAATACGCGGACTGAGAACTGACGACTGTATATAGAGTGAAGAAAGGAGTCACAGATCCAAGGATGGGCGTAGAAGCAACACTCGTACTTGTGATGAGTTTACTCCCATTTACTGGATTTGTCGGAACTCTAGATTCGCATGAGTTTCACGCATTCCATCAAAAGAGGTTCAGCGTGAGCTACCTGAATTCTGGTTTGGGAAGTATTTTGGGGGCCCAGCGCACAAGTCTCGATGTTTGGAAATTAAGATGTTCAAGCCCTTCCTTCCCTCGCTCATATTGAAGGTTCACGTATTTCCTTTCTCAGGAATTGGTCTTCTTGACCTCACCTTGCTTTAGCAACTCTCGTGTTATCTCAACTTGCTATCCTGGCCCTCTCGCGCACCGCTGTCCTGCATGCATCCTTTCGGTCGTCATTTCTTCTTTGGCGAGGCCAGCAGCCCATGAAACAATGAACTCGTCAGCGTGGCCAGAAACTTATGGTCCTTTAGGAGTCCAGCATGCGAAGCCCTTTCACCAACACCCACGTACAATACTAGAAGGTGGGTCATGTTTTGAAGAGAGAAGGTCACAACGCGAGCACCAAGCAGTTTAATAGGCAGCCATTGGAAAGCGGCCACGCGCGAGCCTAGCGGTGCTACGCAAACTTAGCAGGAAGGTCTCCGCAGAGCGGCATCAGCAGGGCCTGTTCAATCCAAGATACATCTTCTTATAGCAACCACTCATTTGGGCTTTGCTGGAGAAGTCTACGGCATGCACTATGTGTTTGTCCAACTCAAGATCAGTATTCGATTGTGGATGAGTCAGGGGTCCCTCAATAAGCGAGATACCATGTGACTTGCAACTAAAAGAGTCTTAACCAGATGATGTAACTCCTACTAAAGTAGTCAAAACGAGATGGGGCCCCTCAAAATAGAAAGCACATTTGAGTTTAGTGCCAAATATACAAATTCTACGGCTCCTGTAAGAAAACAGTATGGTGTTTTCTCTCAGCCCTAATAAGGCCTTGGTCAAAGATGTCAAAGGTGAATCCGCAAAGCGCCAGCCAAAAATAGAGATGCGTATATAATGTATAGTCCACCCTGCTCATCGAGATGAATCGCAACCGTCTCGTCTCAGCTAACCTGGAAATGTCAAGAATGTGTTTTTAATGCTTTTGGAATTCATCCCTCCCTTTGACATCCGAAACTTGCTCAGAAGACCCACACCCGCAGCTGTCTCAAGTTTCACCCATTCTACGACACGAGTTGCACTTTGCAGCAGGAATCGGGATCTAGGGCAATGGTAGATAAAGCAAAGGTCTTGCAAGTTTACTCTGCAGGACGTGAGGAAGACAAGTCAAGACCTTCTCAAATTTTGGAGAGGAAGGCTTTTTCAAGTTTCATTGAGGGAGGACTATACAATGTGCATGGAAGCACGGAACAGCTTGACAAGCTTGCAGGGCGGCAACGCCACCGCAGATTTGTGCCAAGACTCGTGTTGCAGGGCCCTTTGTGACATACATGACATACATGTGTAAAATCAAAAGCTAGTAAAATACTCACAGCACACCACCTTTCGCCCACCTGCCCCATGATCGGCATCGCGGCATGGCTGCTCACACTATCGGGAGCACAAGCTGCCCTGCGTCCAGTGGCTGAGCGTTTGGAGGGTGCTTGCGGTGATGGGCCCTTGGGGCAAGGACAGCAGTACAAGCCAGCACTGGTACCAGAGTTTTTCAACTGGTTGCAAACTAGCGTTCAATTACGTGCTGCTGATTAACAGTGTTGTTGGACGGTACTTGCCACAGTTGAGCTGATATTTGGTTCCAGACAACCTCGCAAGCTACTGGCTTGTGTCGACTTGGCACGGTGTGAAGCTTAGAAGATGGAGGTGCACGCTGCGTTTGTTCCTTGTTGTATATAAGTTATAAAAGTGAGCTTGGCCGGCCATATCTCAAGAAAGAAAGATCTAAAGCAAGCTACTCAGGCCATGCTAACAGAACAGACTTAAACGAGCTGAGCGAGTTCAATGTGAGGCGCCTTGAATGAACTTCATTGAAATGTGTTGATCCATGCAGTAGTTTGAGTTTCTCTCGGAACAGATTGACCATGCAGGAAGTCCATGGTGCCCCACGAGTGTCAAGCTCATGGGATGAAGTTCTGAGGCCGCTCCTGCTCCACCATTGTGTCGTGAACGGGAATGTCGGAGAGTTCTTGGACAAGGCACCCAAAAGGATTGAGCCGTACTGGAAAACGATGAATCATGAGTCATGAGTGTGTTTGTATGATGGTGTGGAGGCTTGGATGAAAGGGCTCCAAGTGGTCGTTGAACTACAACCGCAGCTATTTCTGGATTCCGCTGCTGGGTGCTTCGTCACAGGCTTCGACTGTTACGAGCGGATCAAGGTTGGGAAGCAAGTCGAATGGAGCATGGCTAGCAGCAGGATGCAGCAGGTCTGAGACGAGTAAAGTGACAGGTTGCGTATCGCCAGATGCTGAGCGCTTCAGGCGTGAGATGGGCAATGATACCTGTTCAATCCTGTTCCCACCTGGTTTAGTCTTGAGCACGGCTCCATTCTGAGCTGCAATCGCCCCGCCAATGTAGGCATATGGTCAGATGGGAAATACCATCCAGCTGTGCCAACCTCAGTGCCAGTTGACGGCCAAGTCCTTGGAAAGTTTTGCCTTTCATCCTTCTTTTGTCACCTTTGCTGCCACACAAGCCAGTTTGGACGCTGCCCAGTTTTTAAACGTTGAACGTACTTGGTCCAGCACAACAGCTTGAGATGTTATTTGGTCAGCGTTTCGAGCATCCGACAAAACTTCCGTACATGTACTTTAGTCATGAGCCGCCTCGAATGTCTGAATTGATCTGAACCTTGCTACTCTTTCTTGATTGAAAGTAGCTTATTGTTTGCTGTCCAAAACACTGGAAACCGATAATTAGTGGCCCCAAAATACGTTCGGCATTGGGGGCACGAAGCACACGTGTGGGGATTGTAGTCGCCCGTGCGCCACCAGCGTAGGGCACACGGTAAGAGGGACATCTTCAAAAATAATACATTGTTGTTGCAACAACCCAGCTAACTTGCTCAAAAACGTTTTGCATTTACGGTGTTGTCCTGCAAGAACCAGAACAATCAATTGCAGCTGAAATTCAGTTAAGACCAGTGGGTCTTGGCAATGGTGTCTTGAAACTCTCCAAAACCTATATTTCTTGGGATAAGGGAGTGCAAAACCACAAGCAAAAGTAATAAAAAATAGAACTGCAAAACAAGTAAGCTATTAACTATATATAAAACACAACCGAACAAAGCAATGCTTGAGACAAATCCACCCTTGACCTAAAGCTTAGTTTTTCCCCACCAGTCTGGTGAGGGTTGTCACATTATATACATTATTTGTTATGTCAGTTGCCCCACCTCTCCTTGTCCTCGTCCTTGTCCTCCTCGCCTCCTCACCGCCAGCTCCGGACGGCAGTGTTCCCTGCCGGACCTCAACCGCCAGCTCCGGACGGCAGTGTTCCCCGCCAGACCTCAACCGCCAGCTCCGGACGGCAGTGTTCCCTGCCGGACCTCAACCGCCAGCTCCAGACGGCAGTGTTCCCCGCCACACCTCAACCGCCAGCTCCGGACGGCAGTGTTCCCCGCCAGACCTCAACCGCGAGCTTCGGATGGCAGTGTCCCCCGCCGGACCTCAACCTCCAGCTCCGGAAGGCAGTGTTCCCCGCCGGACCTAAACCGCCAGTTCTGGACAGCAGCGAGTCAGAAGTATGCTAGAAAGAGCTTCAGAAAGATGGGGATTAATATTCGAGAAAGAATGTCGGAAGATACGCCACAAAGAATGTCAGCAGATATGCCAGAAAGAATGTCAGAAGAGGTGCCAGAAAGAATGTCAGAAGATATGCAAGAAAGAATGTCAGCAGATATGCCAGAAAGAATGTCAGAAGATATGAAAGAATGTCAGAAGATATGCCAGAAAGAACGTCAGAAAGAATGTCAACAGATATGCCAGAGTGAGTGTCAAAAGATATGACAGAAAAAATGTCCGAAGATAAGCCAGAAAGAATGTCAGAAGATATGCCAGAAAGAATGTCAGCAGATATGCCAGAAAGAATGTCAGAATGAATTTTAGAAGACATGAAAGAATGTCAAAAGGTATGCCAGAAAGAATGTCAGAAGAGACGCCAGAAAGACTGTCAACAGATATGCCAGGAATAATGTCAACAGATATGCCAGAAAGAAAGTCAGAAGATATGACAGAAAGAATGCCGAAACAATGTTTCAATACATGCCGATTTTTTCCGATTGAAATGTCATGGTGGGGATCACTCAAGGTGAAGTCATTGTACGCGCGTTCTTTTTAGATATTTGTTTGGTTTGTTTTTTTGTCTTTGACTTTGCCTGAAATTACACTCTTAGACTTAGTTTTCTTTCCGGATGTTATATTGTAGAGCGTATATAAAATACTTAGTGGGCCAATTCTTTATTCTACTGCTTTTGGCATCCATGGGGTTCCTTTCCTAAAGGGGTTTGTATGTGGGTTCTTTACCAAGTACTTGTGCCATTGGCAGAGCGCAAAAAAGTATCAAGGTTCCTTGTTGAATCGAAGCCCCCCTGTAATTGTATAAAACAATTGCCATCCTTGGTTGAACCTCC